ATCAACAGGCTCCGTGGCATGACCGGCTGGGTCATCCTAGCTATCAAACTTTAGCTCATATTGCCTCAGGCAACAAGTAACTTAGAATAGGATTTTCTTTACATTCTTGTATCTGGTGTAATCAAACTAAATCTCACAAGCTTTCCTTTAATACTTCTGATTCCAGAAAATCTGCTCCTCTTGAGTTAATTCATTCGGATGTTTGGGGGCCTGCTCCCAAACCATCCGTTAATGGATATCTCTACTATGTAATTTTTGTCGACGACTATTCTCGCTTTACGTGGATTTTTCCTATGTTACATAAAGCAATCTACGGACTTCGCCAAGCGCCACGGCAATGGTATAATACGTTTACCTCTACTTTAGTTTCCATGGGTTTTGTTCATAGCTCCGCCGATCCCTCTTTCTTAATTTTGCATCAGCAAAACATCCACATATATCTACTTATATATGTGGATGATATTCTTATTACTGGAAATGACTCCAAAGCTATTCATAATACTCTCACCATTCTCGGTAACAAGTTTGCCATGAAAAACTTAGGTGAAGCTCATAATTTCCTTGGTATTAAGATTGACAGGTATGCTCAAAATTTCTTTCTATCACAACAAAACTATGCTCTGTCTATTATCAAATCAGCAAATCTATCCAAGTGCAATAAACTCTCCAACCCGTCTTGTACCAAACTCCCCGTCGATATTCAGACCAACGAACATCTTTCGGATCCAACTACCTACAGGCAAATCACAGGATCTCTTCAATATCTTACCCTCACCAGACCGGACATTGCCTACAGCGTCAACCAACTGTCGCAACACATGCATCAACCTGAACCTCAACACGTCTATTTGCTCAAGCGACTTCTCCGATACCTCCAAGGTACGTCTGATTTTGGCATTCCAATTTCGAAATCTAAACTATGCCTTACGTCCTTTTCAGATGCCGACTGGGCCGGAGATCCGGTTTCAAGAAAATCAACATCAGGATATTGTTCGTTTCTCGGAGATTCTCTCATTTCGTGGACCGTCAAGAAACAATCTACCGTGGCTCGCTCTTCTACTGAAGCCGAATACCGTGCTCTTGCCGCTCTTACAGCCGATGTCATTTGGCTACGCCGACTTCTCACGGACTTCGGCATCTCACAGACATGTCCTACGGATATTCATTGCGATAACACTTCAGCTATCGCACTAGCCAACAACCCGGTGTTTCATGCGCGAACTAAGCACATTGAAATAGACCACCGGTTTCTTCGGGACCACATCCAACAACAAACTATCTGAATTCTTCCCATCAGTACTACGGATCAAATAGCGGATATCTTTACAAAATCGCTCTCCACACCTAGATTTCATCAACTTCGTCACAAACTGAGTGTCTCTCAATGACCCATCAGTTTGCCGGGGGATGTTAGCCATACAAAAACACAACAATAACATTTATTTTCTGTTTTACCTATAGCCTTGTATATAGCTTACTTTACATTATATATGTATGTACTAGTGTAACCGAGAACGGTGAATAATAGATCATTACTTTCTCTTTTCAAATCAATTCTATGTTTCTTCTTCTTGGGTTTCGTTTTGCCCAGATCATATCTTTCCACAATATCTACATCTATATTACAATTAATTTAATAAATTAAAATTTTATTCTTGCCAAAATTTTGTAAGAATATTATGACTTAAACATTCTTTATAAATTATGCAGAAAATGACTTCGAAATGATAAGATTTTTTTTTTTTTTAACTTTAAATGAATATAAAATACGTCGATAAATATTGTTGTAAATTTCATAAAGATGACTCACAAATAGATAGATTTTTTTTTTTTATTATCAGTATAATATAATCTTTAAATAAATATGCAATACTAATCTGAATAAAATAAATTAATATCGCGAACTTCCATTTGTCCATCTTCATTGTCGCTCATAGAATATTCTTTTTTTTTTCAAATTACTAAAATCTATTTTTTTAAATGAGCTTTTATCTAAAAAATAATAATAACTTAGAACTCGGTCAAAATTTGGACTAATTATTCTGTGCGGACACCGGATAGAAAGAATATTCAAATTTGCTGAGCTTTTACAAAATGACAGTAAAAAGGCATCAAATGTTTAATACTTACTAAATAATTGAATATTTATTGCGCTTTTGCAAAAGAGTAGCAAAAGTACATTAAAAAGTATTCATAATTGAATATTTGCAGCCCATTTTTTTTTTCAAAAGCGTAGCAAAAAGGCATCAAAAGCACATCAAATCCGGACAGTTCTCTCCGTCTGGAGTCTGCACAGAATAATTTCTCCAAAATTTGGCTCGATGAATATCAAGTTGATTGGTAGCTCGACTCTTTCTATTTAAGTAAAAAAAAAAAAGATATTTGTGATATAATTTAATATTTATATATTTGCAAATTATACATCAACAGTAGTTTTGTCTCATAAATTTAGAATTCATTTGGCCCAACATGAAATGGTATCTATTTTTCAACTCAAATTAGAATCATCTCTAAATTTTTAATTGATTTTTAATAATTATTTGAATGGTTACACAAATTTAGTTAACGATAATTTATAATTTATTCGTGTTTTGGCACTGTTTTCTACGGCAACTTTCAACACATAAATTTCTTAAGATTAGCTAAAAACGAGTTGCCAAAACTGTTCCAACTGAAGCTTTAGTATTCCTTTGAGACAGTTTTCTTACTGTTTTTTATAACAGTCTTTTAGAATAAAAATTTATTAAAAATAACGAGAAAAATGTGGTAAAAAACAATTCCAAACGAAAAATTTAAGTCTATGTAAAAAATAATTGATTTTTAAATTAATTTTGAGTTAAAATTACTAATTATATAAAAATAAATATTTTAATGTGGGCATCAAATGGAGCAATAGTTTCTATAGATTCTTCAAAATAAATAAAAGGGCCAGTAAAAGGACTTAATAAATTAATGATATTCTGCTAAGCAATTATTTAAAGATTCCCTTCAATAAATTATCCAAATTAATCCAAAGAAACCTAATCAAATAAATATTCTTCCATGCTATATAGCATATTGGAGGAATAATTTGTAAGAGAAATTATGTATGTAATTTTATATAAATAATTTAATTAAAGTTATATAGAATTTTATAGTATATAAAAATATTGACAATTAAGAATTTTGTAATATATGAATAAATACTTAGTTTTTATGTTTATTATATTTGAATGAAAAGATAAATTATTCACTAATAAATTAATTATGTTTTTCCTTTCGAATATGGAATCTTAATTTAATATTTTTTATCTTGAATATGTTAATTTGAATAATTAATTATTGTTTGATATATCTAATCTTATGATCCGACTTATTTCATGAAAATTTTCTATTAAGTGTTCAACCCAAGAAAATTTTGCAATGCAATATTAAAAAAAAAACATTATAAATAAAAATATAATGTTCCAAAAAATAATAATAATAAACTTTATAAATACTATTTCAAAAAATAAAATATAATAAAAATTCATTAAAATACTCATATAAAAAATCATATAAATAGAGCTTCATTCTCTACACATGAGAGGTTTAACCGTTTAAGTGCTGAGAGAACAAAAGAGCTCTCTAGCATTTTTTGACTATCACTATTAAATACGACTTCCAGCTGTTGCTTTAAAGCCCAAAGCATGCTATCGTCACCACCAATGATCACCACCAACAATCATCTCAATTTTCTCACTCCTGTCAAGATTTAATTCTATTGTTGAGTTTGAATTGTCCGCTTGTGGACATCAGGCTTACATAAATTCTCTACTGGAAAAAAATCACATATTTGTTCCCAAATAGTATTCTCTTCTTCAACTATGAAAAATGGATGAATTTTGTATCTTCTGTTACTGTGAATTTTTCAATTGGGTCGACACTCCAACCTTTTTTCTTTTTCAGATTTTTTATATAAAAGTTTTCTAATCTCTTATAATTATTAATTTTTATCCATACATGCTGAATTTTTGTCAAAAATTAATACATACATCTTCTACTCACACAAATTTTCTAGCATGTAATAACATACCTATAGTTTGCTTGCAAAAGAAATTATGAAAATTGATATGAGCAACCCATAAAGTTTCCTTTTAACTTCCTCCCAAAATAGATGAACAAGCCGAGGAGATTAGTTTTAACTTTTAATGTAGCTAACATTTTTAAATAATTGCTTGATAAGAGTATAAGTAATTGTGATTTAGAACTACCTATAAATTTGATCCCATCTTAATCATGTGTATTGTGATTCTAAGTAATTATTTGTGTGTGATTTTCATAAAAATGTATTAAAGTAGGCTAAAATTCAAAATGATAAGTAATAAAGTTCAAAAACATATTAGAAAGGAAGTTTTATAAAGGTGAGTATGTTTTGGTTATTATATGATTGAGCGCCTTCGAGTCAATCACCATATAGAAATTTCATTAGTTCGCTCAGCTCTTGAATATATCTCTCTCCGAATGAGGTCTTAATAATAGCCTTTTTAAAATGGCATTTTGATAAATTTGACTAGGATGAAGTACTACATCATAGAGTCTATGTTGATCTCATTGATCATATAGTTTATTAAACATTTGAATGCCTTAATAATAATAAAATCAAACTGTCCCGTAGAGCTGCTCGATTTAACTATAATAATGCTATAATTAGAAGTCATTTTGTCCATCAAATTCTATTCAAAATCTTCTAATCATCATTCAAGTGCTTGATTTGAGTTCATTTGGAGTCGGATCAGATCAATTGTAACGTCGATAGATTCGTCTCGTTCAATTTGACTATAAATTTGTTAAAATTCAAGTTCTTATAATCATAAATTCATACCAAATTTGCAAACAATTAATCATTAAACATAAAAAAATTTCTCAATCACAAATCAAATGCATTAAATTTTTTTTAAAAAAAATCATATATTTTTACACATTCCTCATAGAATATTCATTCAAAAATCTCTTTCCTCCACCTTCCCACACCTCTTCAATTCATAAGTACTAGCTCTTTATAAAATGATCCAATTGCTTAATGGATGATGAGGCATACAACATAAACCAGCACTACAAAGGCTTCACCACCAACATTTATAAAAATAAAATAAAATACATTATTAATCCAGTACTATATATCACACTTTGAAATATTCCTCACCTTTCTCTTCACCACCACTTCCTTTCCCTTCACACAGCACATCAAGACTATACAACACAAAAACCATAACAACCGAACATATAAAGACCAAAACAGGCCCAAATACCCACAACAGTAGAGGAAGAGCAGCATAGAACAATCTATTTCCAAAAGTATTAAGTAAAAAGCCCTTCTCCAGTAGGTCACAAACATATTCAGCTGTGATAATTACTGGAGAGGTAGAAGAAAGTGGAGTAGTGTTGATGAGAAAGCTAACTTGGCTTGTGAAGCGAACTGAGAGAGAGTAGCAGATGAAGGCGAAGAGGAAGATGAGGAGAAGAGAAACGTATTTTAGGGCGACCATGAGCTCACCATGAGCTCCATAAATGGAGTCTGAGATTGGCTTTTTAACACTGTAAGTGCTGCTTAAGACTGCAGCAAGAGCTGAGCAGAGGAGAATACAGGTGGTGGCCATTAAGGTTGAGCTCATTATGGCGTTTCTTAGTGTCTGTACTGCTAGCACGTTTTTCTTGTCTGAGTCCTGTGGTTTTTAGAAGAATAATGATTGAAATAGAAAATAAAACTAATAATTTGGCGGATGTGTGAGGTAGTGTAGTTTTTTAGGAGAAATTATTCTATGTGGTGACCGGACGGCGACAAGTGAGAATCGTCCCGATTTGTTGCATTTCTAAATAACATTTCTTGTGTTTTTGTAAATGCTTAATTAGTAAAAATGTAATAAATATTGTGAATATTTTTCGAGTATTTATTTAGTATATGTTGCATTTTTATTGAATATTAGCTGCATTTTTAGTGAATCTTTACTAAATAATTAAGTACTTGCTGTGCATTTAGTTAGGATTTGCAAAATCACAACAAATATTCAGTAAAAACTCATTCATAATTGAATATTTGCTGCATTTTTTCTGAGTATTTACAAAAGCACAACAAATTTGGAACGGTTCTCGACGTCCGGTCTTCGCACAGAATAATTTCTCATTTTTTACGGGATAGAAATAGAGTTTGACCATCATTATTTTGTAGTGTAAACTATTTTTTATAATTATTAACCAAATTTCGTGCATGCATTTATTACATTTTTTATTTAATTAAAAATATAAAACAAGTTTATGATGTATTTTTGTTTACATTAAACATAATTTATGTGTAATTTTTTTATAAAATTTATGTGTAAAATTACTTTTAAAACTACATATAACATTGAGTCATAAATTTTAGGTTCATTTGAGACAAATTTTTTATTATTTTGCTTTTCATACCGCAAAAACAAATTTTATTTGCCCATTATTTTTTGCTGCTTTCAAAGTAATTTTGTAATAGAAAGCTATTTTCTACAATAACTATAAAAATTTCTTTTCTCTACAACAACTTTACAAAGCAGTAAGAAAGTTATGCCAAACCAAAGCTTAGCTTTGGTTGGGGTTGCACTTTTTGTCACACCTCTTTAATTTTATATTTTATACGTTATCTTTCAATAAAATATAAATATTTTAAATTTAATTACATTGGTAAAGAAATGCTGCTAAATTATTAAGACTTTCAAATTATTTTTTATAATGATTTTATTTATGAATGTCTGAAATTTTAACTATATTTTTTAATAATTTAAATATATTTGTCTAATACTTTAAATAAATTATCTAATAACTTAATTATATTGAGCGAAAATATGTGATATTCTGAATTAAGAAAACAGAGCAAAAAATAGCATCATTTTGATACAAATTAATAGCTCAGAATATTTTGATATAAATATTTTTAAAAATTTATGAGTAAAGTAAACATAATATTATAATTATCTCAAAATTTTAATAAAAAATATATTTCAAAATATCTAGATAAAAATTATTTAAATTGAGTCTTAAAATTATTAAATATAATTTAAAATAAATATAATTAATTAAATTTATATTACAATTTTCAAAATAAAATAAAATATATCAAAATGAAACATGATCTAATTTTTTCCTTAAAAAAATTATACTTCATCTTAACCTATGAGTATAAAGCTTAAGCTTCCAATTAAGAGATTAGTTTGCAATTAAATTTGCTTAAAATACCTCAAAACATTAAAAAAAAAACAAATTTTAGCGGACAAATTGCATTAGAAATAAAGGTTATAAATGGAAGCACCAAACATAAGAAAAAAGGCTAAAAAATTTGTATTTTGAAATTTATCAGATGAAATTTTAAGGAGAATATTTTGACTGAATCATTTACATATTTTGATGCTAATAAGGTATAGAAAACATAATGGAATATTAAAATACCTTCATTATCGAACGGACCCAAAGCCGGCGGCCGGCTGAGTTCATTCCGATGATGGTCCGGCGAGGCTGTGTCCTAACCTTGTGCCAAAGCCAGCCATGGTAGATGATGAAGAAGAGAAGGCTCACAGGAACTAGTACAAGATCCATGTAGCTCTTTCTCCACACCATCCTCCTCAGTCCCTCCTTCTCTCTCTCTCTCTCTCTCTCTCTCTCTCTCTCTCTCTCTCTCTCCTCGCTCGCTCTCTCTCTTTCTCTCTCTGTCTAGTTTCAAGTCAATTCTTCTTGTAACTGAAGGCATTGTAGACTATTTATATATATTGAGAGATAGGGAAAGGAAAAAAAAATTGTTTCAGGATATGAATAAAAAATGGAATTTATATGTATAGCACCCGAAAATTTTTTTATTTATATACTTAATATCTAAATTTTAATATTTATATAATAAACTTTTTTTTTTTTGCTTCATTAAAGAGAAACCCTCGACTACAATAAAGAGGAAGTCTGATTAGCATGGGCGGATCCCCCATGCATGTACTAAGGGTGGGCAAAATGCCCACCCTCTAAAAAAATATTAAATATTTAGAGGGGATATTTTGAAATATTTTGATCATTTTGGGTATTTTTCTCACCCCTAAAAAATCTTCTTTTGCCCTAATTTTATCAATCCTAAGCGCTTTTGCTCATTCCCACCAAAAAAAAATTTTTTGTCCACCTTGAAAAAAGAAGGATCTGCCCTGCTGATTAGATCTCACAAGAGATGAGAATGTCATGATGGGATCTCATGTGAAATGGGTTTCAACTGCTATCCCCCTCTTTCGCTACAAAAAAATTGTAAATTACCGGCGGCCAATTCTGGCGGTTCAAGTTAGTTTTCAAGTGGTTTTAAAAATTTCTGACGGTTGACCGGAATAAATTAACCGCATAGGAAAGGAATTCCGACGGCTAATTTCCGACAGTCAAAGGTTCCGGCGACTTTCTGGTGGCAAAACAGGCGGTAAATTCTGACGGGCAAACCGCCGTTTAACTAATTGTGCAGTACCGACCATTAAAAACGTCCCAATAGCTGGCGGTCAAGCTGCTAAATAAGCCGTCTGGTATCAAAGTTTTCGGTGGCTAAACCACCGGTTAGCCGCCGGAAATCTGTAGCATTTGTAAAAAAAAAAAATGGCAGTCCCCATCTATTTACACCAATTTCCACAATTTTAGGGCAATTACCGGCTGTTATCTGGCGGTCTGGACCGCCAGAAAGGAATCACTTAAAATCAAAGGCCAAATAGCCGGTAATTGTCGACGTTTAAAGAAAAATTGGTGGTATGTCTGGTGGTCAGTTTACAGCCGCCTGTTCAGGAGATTTTTCCCGGTTACTACTGCCGATAAACAACGAGTTTCCTATAGTGTTTCACTGTAGGTTAAACTTCCATATTTACGTGCAAGCAGAGCTTGGACATTTTGTTGGGAAGGTCTGTGATGAAATTAGTGTTACACAAACATGACAACAAAATTAGGGGTGTCAATATTTGACCCGATCCTGACCTGACTTAAAAAATTTCGGGTTCTGGTAAACCCATTTTCAAGATGTGTCAAGTTTGAATTTCATTTTTAGACTGGTTTATAAAATATGGTCGGATTCTGGTTGACCTGAAACCTAGAAATCAACTCAGATTGATTCGGAAACTAACCTGCACCACACTACCATAGCATGATCCCTCCCTCCAGAGTCAAGACTTTGCACCCTACTTGCGTTTTGCTAGCCCGCTTATATCCGCCCGCAGTCCGTTCGTCGGTCAGGTCGAGTCAACCGAATAACCAGTGTGGGTTGGGTATGGGTTAGGATTTCTTATCCGTTTGTAAAAACTGGTCGGGCTCGGGTCGTTTCAAACAGTAACATATCATTATCGGGTTCGACCCGAATCTTAGTCGCAACCCGATTTTGACACCCCTAGAAGAAATTGATAGCGTGTAAAGCTAATAATGGGCCCAATGGTATGAGAAACTCAATGACAAAAAATTCATGATAGGATATGGATGTGCATGTGTGAAGTTTTGAGGGGTAAGTGATATTTTTATTTTTTATTTAAAAATTTAAGTGTTATGCTAGTTAGTGAACTGTAAGTGCTAAATATGTAAAAAAAATAAAATAAAATTGAGTGGTATATATTTAAATTCCCCTTGAAATTAGTTATAATGAGTTTCTGAATTGGTGATTGTATTTTAAAATGAGTATAAAATTTGAGTAATTAATTAAAATTTAGTTTGCACTTATTTTAAAATAAGTTTATCATGATACAAAATTAGAAATTTCATATACATAATTTTACATGTTAGAAAATTTTAATTTGTAGGATGTGTATTTTACATCTCAATATTGTATAAAAATTCAAAAAGCACAAATAAAGCAGTAAGATCAGAATTTTTTTACGTGAAAAATCTAAAAAGAAAAAAAAAAAACCATAGGGTTTGACTCAAATGAAAAATCAACTATACATAAAAATATACAAGAATTCTCCATTCATCACAATTGAACAAAATGACTATTTAAGAATAAGTGTCTGATTCCTTTTATGAAGGTTAACATAAATCAATTGTTCACATATGAACAATTGACTCCCAATAACAGTGCTTGATTTCGTCATTAAGGATTATAAAAAAGTAAGTATCCATAGACGAACAATTATACCAAGCAACAAGGTTAAATTTTATCATAATTCTAGATATGTGGTGATTATTGATGGTGATCGCCGGCGGCGATGGTGGTTGTCGGTGGTAATAATCATGGGCGGATCCTCATAGAGCCCATGATGGACAAATGCCCACCCTAAAAAAAAACTTATAAAGGACAAATTTAAAATTTTGATCCCTCTAAAAAAAATATTTTGCCCAAATTGTTGAAGATACTCATTGAATAATATCTTTATCTTATAAAAAATGTAAGGTGCTTACTCTCTAGTTTCTATAAAAGTCACAGATAAGTTTTATCCAATGGAGAAAGAAATGACTATTGGCTAATAAGTTGGGTTTGTATTGCCTTGAATTTGACAATGCATGGATGGAAGAGTCCTAGGAATGGCTATGTAGCAGGCAATCAACTTTAGGAAATGATAACTTTTATTTTTATTTTTATTTTTTGGATTTTTTTCCTATTCTTTTCTTCCATGGATATATGTGTAGGACTCTTTGAAGCTTTTATATGCAAGTTATCATGCATATTTTATGATTTAATTATTTCTTTTTTTTCTAAATTAGATAACTTTTAGCTAATTTATTATTACTGTTCTCTAAATTGGAGTATAGATTCAACATAACTTACATGATTATACTCCAATTTTATAATTAAAATCAATTATATTGAAAGTTAAATGATAAAAATTTCCTCTTATAAATTTGATAGCATTATATTACTTAAATTAAAAAAAAAACATTTTATCATTATTACTATTTGTTATTAATATTATTATTATTATTATTTATTATTATTATTATTATTATTAATTTTGTCTGCCCTAAAAAAAGAAGTTGGATCCGTCACTGACAATAATTGGTGGTGGTTGTTGATGAAGATAGCTAGAAAATACAAGAGAGCTCTTTAGCTTTCTCCTTTCTTTCTTCCCTTCATGTGGAGATCGAATAGAGCTCTATTTATAAGCTTCTTGGGATGTGCATTTTAGTAATTTGAACCAAGTATTTAAAACACTCAATCTATCATATAATTCACTTCGATTCTCTTGATCATAAAATATTTTATCAACATTAAAGTATCTTAAAGATGTTGAAATTGAGTGATCTTGGGCTCGTTGGATTTATCTCATCGAGCCACTCGATTCGACTATAAACATGTCGAATTTGAAGTTAATATGATCATGATTTTAATTTTTAAATTTTTTAATTTAAAAATTGCATAGAGATTCATGTATATCATGTGACTTTTCAGAAATCATATCACATACCATAAATTTTTTTTATATTTACAAATCTAATCTCTAAATCTTTATATTTAAGAATATTCCACCCAAATTTTTTTATTGAGAAATGAACCTGGACGCCTTTGAGGGAATTCAGGAAAAGTGGAAGAGATATATAGGAGTTAAAGCTGCCATGGCCTGAGCTTTATGGATGACGAGCCATGCACCAAATGCTAGCTTTAGCTCCTCTTTCAGATGGTGCTCGCCTTGTCATGAATATTATTTATTAGTGGGATATATCTATGTTCTCGCATTGTGCTAAGCTTATGATTCTACCATAACACTTTGTCCACAAAGGTCAAAGGAACAAAAGAATGTTACTTCTACCTTGGAATCTTCAATTGATTGTCCCCAAATCACGATACTCTATGAATGTTTTTTTTAATTGATAAAACAATAAAATGAGTTCTTGAGAGAATTTTATTAGTTTGCTATGTTGATACTAACAATTTTCTGATTTTCAAATTTTAGAGTTCCGTTTGGAATGATTGAAGTTTACTTATAAAGGTGGTTATAAAGTTATTCTGGAGAAAATAATTTTTTGAAAGTGATTGTAAAAAACAACATCATAGTAGGCACGGGCGGAACCTCATTATGGCTAGTGGGGGGGGAATTTTTTTTTTCATTACACTATTATTTAGGTATTTTTTTGTCTTTATTATAAGGGTTTTATTTAATTGCCCCCCCATTAACAATTTTTTTTTTGAATATGTTATTTTATAGAGATAAAATACAATATGATAAAAAACTTACACTTTAGAACACCCACTCTTCAGGTTTTGAAAATTTGAATGATTACTTCAATATCAATATAATTAAATATTTCTTTCTCAATGTGACTAAAGTGTCATTTATCTAATGATCGTTAATTCTATTTAATAGTCGATTTTTTATAATAATCATAGCAGAAAAAAATCTTCCAACTTATAAAGGCTTGTTGTTGTTGTTGCATGATAATATTTTGATTATAATATCCCAATGTAATTTATTTTTTTTTTATAAAAATTAGATCTATAAAGAGATGAATAAAGAAATAAATGTGATTAACTACGCTTCTATTTTAATAAAGAATAAATAATATCAATATAAAAATAAAAAAATAAAAAAGAATTATATATATATATATATATATAAGGTTGTAAAATTAATTTATTTTGCATATAATTATTTTCACATGCTTAATTGTTAATCTTAGAAAAATTCAACATAATTAGATGAAAATAGTGGGAGACCAAGAGGCTCTTCGATTTTTTGAGGGACAAATTGTGTGAAAAAAAGATTTGT